TTATGCTATTATTCTCCTATCTGAGCGTGCTTTCTACCATTCTGATTTAACCTAGAGATAACTCTAGCCCCTTATTTCGAGCAGAGCTGGGAAATTCATTGGGGATCAGAATCTTTGAAGCCCCTTTACATGTGTAGGTAAAGGAGCTATTAGATCTTATGTGTGATCCATACAGTTGCACCTCCTGCCATGCCAGACTAAATTCAATTGCACCTTATTGCTGGTGCAGGGAGAGCCTGATCCTGGGCTCTCCCTCCATTGGCAAGTATCAGGCTTCCATGGCTGGGAACACCCTTTGCTGAGCGGGCTTCTAACTGCAGGGGCCACCTGCAGCCGGGACTGAGTCGCCACAGCTGACAGGGTGTCTCGGTCCTGGCTGTGCATGAGATGCAGCCAGGACCCAGAGCCCTATCACCTGCAGGGTCTCTCAGTCCTGGCTACAGATGAAGCACAACTAGGACCAAGAGCCCTGTGTGGGTCTGGGGATTTCGTGCACCACTGAGCCTTTAGGATCATGGCAGCTGCAATCCCCTGGGTGCAGGGGTTTCATGCTAGGTGCACCCCCATCACTGCAAGTCCTGTCAGCTGACAGGGCTCCCAGCTACAGGGAAACTTTGCTATATGTTGAAATTAAAGCTTGATAGCAGCTACCTATAATGTTAGTACACATTTCTGAGGTCTACCTATAGGTGGTTGGAGCTTTTTAATGTGTGATAACTACTTTGCGCATGCAGCTGGTCTCAAGGTAATTGCATAATTAACCAGGTCATTGTGCAATAGCTGTAATGTGTAAAGGGGACCTAAATTAAAAGGAGCATACAAATGTAACTCTTTATGCACTGAAAGTATTTTTTAACCATTAGAGCAGGCCAGTTCCCAGAGTCGGTGGCGGGGTTCTAATGGAGAGGACAGTCAAGTCAAGGCTTCTCATAGAGACAGTCCTATCCTGCCTCCTGCTGGCTGGTAGCTTTATTTTTTGTTCTGGCATGCATGGGAGCCCCTCATTTGAGAGTTTTGCTTCATGACTCATTGCAGAAAGCAACATGGGGAGAAAATTCACAGAAGAGGAACATAGGCAATTTATATATATAAATAAATCCAAGTTCCTTGAAGCATCTGCTTTATGATGAAGGAGGAGGGAGCTGGGAATGTTACACATGGGCAGAAAAGGAGGCTCGGGCATCTTTCAATACTTCTGAGAGGGTCTCAGGGGTCAAGGGAGTTTCGAGAAAAAAAAATTCCCCACTTTCCCTAAAGTTAAATAGTCTTAAGGTTTACCGACTTAATCTGTTTACAGAGAAGGAAGGATTAAATGCCTGGTGTGGCTTTGAGGGTTCATCCATCCATCCATTTCATTCATTGAGGTAACTATGACTTAATCTCACTTACTATAATTTTGTATGTAGATATTTGCATCTTAATAGTTTGGGATGGGGAATTTTTTTTGTTTTGTTTCTATAGTGCCTGGCACAATGGTTTGTATTTCCTGAAGCATCAAATTTCCAACAATATTCTAGCCTTGCCACAATGGAATTCTAGTCACTGATTTAGGTACTGGGTACTATAGTAGGAAAAATAATAGCTAAAAACTTGTTGCTGAGCCAGTATTAGACCTGTGCAAAGTGGCTAGTATTCACTTCAGATTTGGATTTGGCTGATTCGGGGGATAGTGATTCGATTCGGTAATTCAAATCACTATCCCGAATTGATATGGCCATATCTGATTTGGAGATTTGGCTGCTGCCAAAGCAGCTAAGTCTCCAAATCACACAGGTCCCATCTCCCACCCACTCTCAATGGCTGCCCTGCCTGCCCTACCTCTTGGTTCTTTGGGGAAAAAAAGCCCCTATTCACCGGCTGCTGCCAAGCAGGGTGGGGTGATCCTTGTTGTCCCATGCCACATGGGGGGCCCTGCCATGACCCCCCCATCCCTGCCTGCTCTCCCAGCCCCCGCATGGCTGCCCCGCCCACCCCAGCTCCCAATCCTTTAAAAAAAAAAAAAGCCTTTACTCACTGGCTCCTGCCCAGTGTGGGGGTAATCCCTACTGCCCCATGCTGCATGGGGGGGGCTCTTCCATGAGCCCCCAGAAGCCCTGAGGCTGCTGTAGCAGCCAGTGAGTCTGGAGGGTTTGGGGGTTTTTTTAAGGGCCGGAAGCTGGGGCGTGTGGGGCAGCCATGGGGGAGGGTTGGGATAGCAGGTGGGGGTTGGTGGAGTGCTCAGGGGGGCTAGAGGAGAAGACAAGGGATGGGGCCTAGCGGGGGTCCCCCCATGGTCCCCTCCCCCACCCCCTACTTGCCAGCATGGAGACGGGGTCCAGCTCCCTGCTGCAGCCAGTGGGGACTGCCCAAATCACCAAAGCTCTCCAAATCTTTTCCAAATCTATTCAGATGTTCAAATCGATTTGGACCTTTTAATTGTCCCCCGATTCGATTCAGATTCAAAGATTCAGCCACTGAATCGGGCTGAATCTCCTCCAAATCAAATCAGCACCCAAAGCTTTGTACAGCCCTAGCTAGTACATTGCATCATTCCAGCTGCAAAATCTGCTGTCTGAACTGAAATATATACCAAGATTTTTTTTCTTTAATATAAGGACAGTGATTGTTCTACTAGCAATATGTTTTCATAATGGATCCCAGATTTTACAAGGATATGCAGATAATAATAAAAAAGCAACAACCCTCATCCCATGTTTTCTTACTTATTCTGAATGTTTTAGATGGGGAAAGTAAAACTAACCTAATACTGATCTTCTACTGTTCTTTTGCAGACAGATGTACACAGTTTTTTGCCCTGTATAAACTATGCATAGTATTCATCCAAAGCCAAAAGGCTTATGATTTACTGCACACTAGGCTGGGCCCCACCAAAGTCAACAGCATTTCAAGTCATGGTTAGCCACAACACTGCACATAGTTCACCCAGAATCTCCCTGTCATGCCCCCTCTCAGCCTGGTGCACACGATTAGTGTGGTCCCGCACTCCGTGGTGACCCCACAGCTCAGCACTGCTTGGTATGTATGTATATTCAAGATACCCCCCACAAAGGAAACATCTACTAATCAGCCCCCACTCGTGTCTGGGACTGGGTGTTTTTTGTCAGAAGTCCTAGGATGCTCCAAAAAAGTATGTGCAGATGAGATGCAATTTAACTTGGTCTGGCTTCACCTCATAGAGCCATCTCTGTCTCTCCCCAAAAAATCAGCTATGTGACAATTTGGTTAACATGGTCCCTGCAGAGGGCAGACATCCCATGGGCTCTTTAAGTAACCCTGAATTGTAATGTTGGCTAGATTCATTCCTGAGGGAAGGGGGTAACCCTTTGCCTATGTGACTGGCAACACATACCTGGGTGAGGGGCTTAGGCTCCCTATTGTTCTGAGCAATGCCAGTCTCCCTGGCAACAAGTGATGCATTTCAAATTGGTTGACTAGCAGCCAACAGGTGCTGGCCTCCATTGGACCAGGTGAATGAGGTCATAAGTTAATGACTGCCCAGGGGGAGGAGCAGTAGCCATAATGAAAAAATACAGAGAGAGAAGCTGGACTATCTAAAACTTGCTTTCTCTCTTGAAACTCATGATCAATGAACTGCCTGTCTCCAGAGGAAATCTCCACCTACCTCTGGATGATACTCGTGAGGAAGCTACTTGAGATCTAACTCAATATATAGCTTGCAGTAACTCAGATGCATGAACAAAGGCTACCCAGCCACCCTGTTTGCTCTATGGGATTTTTGTGATATTGCTGTACCCTGTACCCTATTCCAAACCTACTCCTTGTAGCCAATAAAGTTCTCCTTTGTACTTAGCGTGGGAGACTTTTTGAGAGAAGGACTAAATTATCCCTTGGGGTCCCCTTGGTTCAGCTGACTAAGGGAAACCACTATTTGTGCTTCAGACTGTGAGATGCACCCCAAGTTCTTGAAGTGGGCTGAGTACCCTCAAGGACTACTAAGCCTGTGTTTCCCAGGGGGCACAGAGCCAGGATCGATCCAGACCCTGGGTGGTGACACTGTTACCCCAAAGCTAGCGGGTGTGCTCCAGGAAGGGGGTCGGCCAGATGTGAGGTGCCCCCAGGGAGGCACTTAGAGCCTGGAAGGTGGTTGGGCACAGTGAGGTGGGTGGCTCAGCGCAGGAGCACCCGCTACTGGCCTGCCATGGTAGAGGGAGAGACCTCATCTTGTATTCAAGTAAGTATAGTATTGTTCTTGTCCATTTCATATATGAGATGTTGTAAACTGCAGGGAAAATATATATATGCATCTGCAAGAGAAGGATTTTATGTAATTAAGCAGTTATTTTTTACCTGAAAATGCCAACCTCCCAGGTCAGTTTTTACTGGACAGTGGGAATATACACAAATGTTTCTGGTGCACTATATTGAAAATATGGATTAGCTACTGTATCAAATAAGTTATTGGCTCAGCTTTTCATAAGTTGAGAACTCTGTAATGAAACGTGCTGCATCAAATGAATAATTCGCAAATAATGAATAAAATGATGCAATGTATCAGCATGCAAAGTAATTTGTTACATCACCTAATCCATATTTGATTACATTGTGAAAGAGAAAAAAAAAGAAAATGTGAAAGATTTAAAAGTTATGTTTTGAAAAGGAATGTTAGGGATTTATTTTACTATTGGAAGTACTAAAGCCTGGCACAATAACAATGTAGGGCAACTTGTAAATGCACCCTGAGAAACTCTGGCTGGCTGCCCCTTGCCCTAGTAAGTGCCTTTGCTGAAGAGACTGCCTGCTGTGCTACTTGAAATTGCGGGTTGCACTGGGTTTCTCCAGTGTAGTGATCACTGGGTATATAAATACAGGCATCAAATGAATTAAAGTAACTAATAATAACCTTATTTGCGGAGCATTAGGCTATCTGTTCACTGACAATCATCTCCAAGTTCCCAACTCCCTCAGTCTCCTTTTAGGGAGCCTCTCTAAATTTTACCTGCTATCACTGCACCCAACTAGAAGTAAAGCCACTCTCTCAGTGTGTCTATACAAGATGCTACAGCACTGTAGCAATGGGCTACAGTGCCATAGCATCCATTAGCAAAAACTGTGATGCCACCACTACGTTGTCATAGCAGTCCACTCCCTCATAATAGTGCATTGCTATAACCATGCACAGCTGGCATGGAGCAATACAGAGTGTTACTGCACCATCTTTTAGTACTTCCAAAAGGAAGTACTAAATGACAGTGCAGTAACAAAGGTGCTGTATGGCCACATGTAGACATGCCTACTTAGAAGCAGAACTGGGAGCTAGGTCCTTGCATCAGGGCCATGGAGAACCAGGGAAAGTAAGACACCATAAGGCTTGGGTCTTACAGTCAGTAGGAGTCCAAGCTCCCACTTTGCTGTAGAAGCCAAGCCTAGTCTAGCTTCAGAGGACTTTCTCAGAGACCAGACAAGGTTGCAGTGGTGCTAAGCAAACACCACGTGCAGGGCATTCTGTGACAATATGCTTTTAAACTATCACTGATGCCCTGAGTTAGCTCCACAGAAACAAAGAACAATGAAAATCCAAATTAAATAATCCATTTTCATGTTTTCACATATAGTTTTAATTGCAGTGTGCATTTCATCACTGTGCTTTCTTTATATTACTGGATGTTATCCTGGCTCAGTAACAGCACAAGCAAACTTCAATCGTTTTAATTATTTGGGATATCAAAGGGAAACAGTCATTACTTTCTGATTCAGTTTCCATAAATAGTGAATTAGACATAAGGGACCATTCATAAAAAATAAAGCACCCCGGACCAAATTCCATCTGTGGTATAACTTCACGGATGTTAGTGAAGCTACACTCAAAATGAATTAAAGCCTCAGATCCCCTTGGTGAGTGAGGTGGTATATCTTTCAATTCTTTTTAAAACATTGCCACTTAAAGGCTTACTGTCTGTGTGGTGTTGAGCACTCTATGCTCCCACTGATTTCAGTGGACCAGGAACCATTTGAGAAGCTGCACATTAGTATAAGCCATAGTACTATATGCACAGGTGGACTAATTTTAGGACTGGTGTGTTATCCCCTAAAGTAAATGTTGGGACCTATTTTCATTTTAGTTTTTATTTTCTGTTTTATTTTGCACTTCTAAGAGACCAGTCATTGTGCTATTTAGCTACCTATGGGATGTGACAGCCAGCCTGTATGTGTACTGCTGCAGGTATGCACAAGATGTGCACATTCCCTGTCATGAAACAGCACAAAGAGTTGCTTGTCTTTTTATGGGTTTTATTTCTGAATCCCCACAACATGTAGTTAGTTGACAAGTAGATTGTCTGGCTGTCAACTAATTGCATGTACAGGACATTGGGAACAGAACTCAGACTTCCTGAGGAGAAAGTCTGTATATATGCTAACTAGCTGTGGTGTAAACCCCATGATCATGTGCAGTGAAGATAGGGACAGACCCATGAAACAAATATTTGGCTATCTATTCCACGGAGGGTAAATGGCTCCTGGCTGAAAGCTTTGATGTAGGAAGTATTTAGTAAAGCACTAAAATATCGTTAATGGAGCTGGTTTGAAATGTTTATTGAAAAGAATCTTTTATTTTTGTAGGAAAAGGTCTTTTACACAACTTTTAATAGGAACTTTCAAAATAAGGCTAAGGAAAACAAAAAATGATTCTGTTGTAAATCAAAATTTTAATTTTACTTTGAATTAAAATTTTCATTTTATTTTGGCTATCAGAAATCAAAAAATAATCCCAGATGTCTGGTTTTTGTTTTTGTTACAGCTTTGAAAAATTACACCTAGAAAAATAGAAAAGGAAAAGGCAGAGGAAAATAATTTTGAATGTTTGTTCATTTTCATAGTTTCATAGTTTCATAGATTTAGGGTCAGAA